TTTATCACAAATTTTAAAGAATCTTATAGACACATCCATCAGCATTTGGGGGAATTCTTTATCAAAAGTTTTTTTTACTGTATCAAGATTTTTGAATACAACTTTAATATTAAAAGTCTTAAGAAGAGAAGACATATCAACCAAGTTTTCATGGTAAGGGAAAAACCAACATATTTTTAGTTGAATAAGGCTGGTTTTTCCTTTTTTGGGTTGTAAAAAGTATTTCTAGCAACTTTAAAAGATTTATCAAATTACATTTCTTTGGGATTTTAAATCATTACCTATTTCATAAATTTTGGATATTTTCCCCATTATGAACTCAGGACTACAAATCGTAAAGTCTCTCAAAAACATTTATGAGAAAACAGACAGTTTGAACTCTATCTTGATGCGAGGAATAATAGTGGACATAGGAACAGTTATTTGTAGGTTTTCTGTAAATTTTAAAATTTTAATTCATTATTACCCTTTAATAATTAAAAACATCTAGAAAAGGCAATGATTTTTTTCTTCAAACTCAACAGTAAAGTTTATAGAATGGGGCTAAGCTATTTAATTTTCCAAGGAAATGGTGTAAAATCTAACATTTTTGGGCATAAAACACAAAATATCATTTAAAAATATCTGACCCTTTAGCTCTATTAGGGAGGATTGTGTTAAGCAACCCTTGTTTTTAAAAATTCCATTTTTAGGTTATAAGAACAGGTGAAAGAGGATTTCCATTGCCATACCAAACTTTGAGTAAAACTTATCATTAAATACAAATTTTGCATCAACAATGCAAAGTTTAATAAGTTTAATGATTGTAGGAACTGGCAATGGTAAATCATAGTTAACGAGTTTTTAGATAAGAAACTTAATAAATCATCAACAGGAACTTCGTAAACAAGGAAGTAACATCAAAACTAACCATGTTACAATCATTTAAGTCAGTCAAGGAGCTTAATTTATCAACCAATTCTATGTTTGTTTTTAACATTTAAAGTTAGAAAATTTTTCCCCAACAATAGGGCTCAAAATATCAACAAGCCATTGCATAATTTATATGAAAATGACCCTATGGAGCTAATAATTGGTCTGACTGGATTCCCTGGTTTGTGTGTTTTTATTAGTCCAACATGTAAGGTAAAGATGGATTAGTGGAAGTTTAAAATTTTTTGACTAATTCATCTTTGCCTTTCAGTAGAAGATTTTTTTGTTTTATTGAAATTGCTGTTAACGGTTTCTGGGGATTTTTCCTAAGTTTAGAATAGGTTTCAGTATCATCTAAGAGGTTATTCATTTTTTCTTGGTAATCATTTTCTTTCATAATTACTATTGCATTTATTTTGTCTGCTTTAGTAAGGCGCAAATTTTTTTGTTATTAAGTGTATCATAAGACTTTTAAAAAATCTTTGAGGACAATTGGGAATGTTTTTGGGTTTTAACATAGAGTTATATACCATTCCTTTACTAATATTAATTTCATCAGAGGATAAATCAGATAGAGTCAAACTGTCTGTTTTCTCATCAATGTTTTTGAGAGCTTTACGAATTTGTAGTCCTGAGTTCATAGATGAGGAAATATCCAAAATTTATGAAATAGGTAATGATTTAAAATACCCAAGAAATGTAATTGATAAATCTTTTAAAGTTGCTAGAAATACTTTTTACAATCCAAAAAGGGACAACCAGCCTTATTCAACTAAAAATATGTTGGTTCTCCCTTACCATGAAAACTTGGTTGATATGTCTTCTTTCTTAAGACTTTTAATATTAAATTGTATTCAAAAATCTTGATACAGTAAAAAAAACTTTTGATAAAGAATTCCCCCCAAAATGCTGATGGATGTGTCTTATAAGATTCCTTGTAAAATTTGCGATAAAGTTTATTACGGTCAAACTGGTAAAAATCTCGAACTAAGATTAAAAACAACATAAATATAGCATTAGAACTGGACAAGATTCCAATGCTCTATTTATTCATGTAAGAGATTTTAACCATCCAATTGATTTTCAAAAAGTTGAGAAAGTAGTATCAAGCAAGTCCATGGTCGACAGGAATATAATTGAATCTTGTTTCATAAAAAGCAGTTTTGACAATAATATGAATATTTCCTTTGGTTTATATAAATTAGATCCATTTATAATTAATAGAATTTGGGAAGAATTTAATAATACACTGGACAAATAATAATTTTTAAATTTTCTTGGGTAGAATAGTTTGTGGGTGAGTGTGCAAAGGACCTATCCAGTTGGGTCGGCGGGCGTCAGGTGTTTAACCGTTGTGGGATCTGATAGTGAGGTGTTGGCCAGACCCCTTATATAGCTTCCTTGGATGCTTTACTTTCATAGTTCCTGATAATGTGAGTAGTCACGAAAGTGCTTGGAATTTCTCTATTCTTTCAGAGTGGTTGTTTTTGCATATTCTGAAATCACCTGTTTACTGTGATCTTATTGCATATATATATATATATATATATATATATATATATTTTATATATATATATATATGTGTTGTGTTGTGTGTGTGTGGTGATGTGTGTGTGTGTGTGTGTGTGTGTGTGTGTGGTGTGTGTGTGTGTTTGTAGACTTTTTTTGAACGCATTTACAGATTCATTGCTCAGAAATTCTTGCCCACCCACAGTGCCAGCTGGCTTCCCTCCCCCACCCAGGTGGCACAGAGCCAAGCTGAAACACGACATGATTGGTGTCACTGCTTCTGACAGTGACACCACCCACATAACACAGTCAAAGACTTGCAACACTACCGGACAGTGAGGTGGGATCTTAGTTTGCTAGGTTTCAAATCTTTCAGCTGCACGTGGGTCATGAAGGTTACAGTTGGCATGTATACCGACGTTAACAATAATACTGAGATAAGGATTAATGTAAAATAGTTACATATGCATTGACAATTTCACGCCTCTGTGCTTATACAATGAGATTCATACCTCTATAAAGTGTATATACACAGGGAAAGATCCACGTTTGTGTATATGCAGAGTACACGTCTCAGTGCGTATAAACTGAGATACATCTCTCTGTGTATATATACAGATTCAAATGTATTTATATGCTTTTGAGAGGTACAAACCTCAGAGTGTATATACACTGTAAAAGTATACCCTATGTATAGCCACAGCCAAGTAGATAAATTAGTAAATACTTCATGAAGCTGATTTGACGCCATGTCTAAACAGTTTTGGATTTGTAGCATATTAAATAGGGCTTAGGACATGCTAAAATATTGCAAAACAAGCGATACAACAATAAGCAAAAAAGTGACAGGGAAGCTCAAGGCCTTTCATGCATCAGCACTTCATCAGGAATTGGGTATGTGAGGAACTGCTGCTGGCTGTTCCTTCGGGCAAATTTCACAATCTTCCCCCTCGATTTTTTTTCCAATGTCCTTATATACCAAGCTCCTGACGAAGCTCTGATGCGTGAAAGGCCTTGAACTTCATATGTAGTTCTTAGTTTATTGCAAATAGTGCATTGAATGTTGCATATAGTATATCGAATATCCTATGTAATATAGTGAAAACTGCATATTGTATATGGAATGTTACATACAGTAAAGTGAATATTCCATATAGCATAATGAATCTTGCACATGGTGAGAGTAAACATCATTAGCGAACTATTTCTGCCTTCAACAGTGTGTACCCAGCTACAACTATGAACTGTGACACTGACGCAAATGTTAACAACTCAAGAAATACTACACAAGCCAAGTTACACACACTCGTTGCTTTAAAAATTTCTTTATATATAGGGAAAGAATAAAAATTAATAAGGACGGTCTTCTTCTTTCCTTCTTCTTCTTCTTATTATTATTTTGTTGTTGTTATTTTGTGAAGAGCTATACCCGTAAGGTTCATATCAGCGCATGAGGAATATTTGATGTAAGATAAGGAAGATTAACGCCAACTTCTTGAATCAAGAGCCCTTCCCCAGCATCAAGGCATCCCTCCCCTTGAAAAAAAAAGTTTTCTTCAACAGTTGTTTACTCGGACCCAAACCCTAGTTACAATACTTGTAAATAGAAAGCCGTAATACAAGGTAGCTGCTGTGTACTATTTAAGAAACTATTAGAGAGAAGTAAATCGTACAGTCTGGCGAGAAATATTTCCTGGCATCAAAAATGACATCTTCAACAAGATGGCGTCCAGTGTAAACACGAGACAAGCTACCACCCTCACCCTGTGTATCACCTTGTCTGACGAAGGCATACTACCCACAGTACATACAAGTGTAGACCAAGGCGTACTACCCACAGTAGATACTAGTGTAGACGAAGGCGTGCTACCCACAGTAGATACTAGTGTAGACGAAGGCGTGCTACCCACAGTAGATACTAGTGTAGACGAAGGCATACTAGCCCCAGTAGATACTAGTGTAGACGAAGACATACTACCTATAGTAGATACTAGTGTACACGAAGGTATATAACCCACAGTGGCTACAAGTGTAGATGAAGCTTGACTACCCATAGTTGACAGAATGTAGACGAAGGCGTACTGCCCACAGTATACACAGGTGTTGAGCAAGTTTTTATTGCGACAACGTTTTCCTCTGTGTAGAGTTTTATGGATGTCTTGGGTTTCGCTCTGACGAGAGAGGGAACCCGTTATTACTGCACCTGTGTGTGTTTCGTCCCGCCGTTTGTTACTGCTGCTGCCACACTTGCAAACCTCACGACGTCATAAATAAGCATAGGATGATGGCTTTGCTGATGTATGGGTGTGTCTGTCAGCCACGACTCCCTCTATTCTTTAACGTAAAAAAAGCACAAAAGGCAAGGCAGATAGTTTAAGCGACAGTATACTTGGCCGGGGGGAACTGGCTTCCACCCATCTAGGAGACAGTGTGCATTGCTGCAAACGAAGAGTTTTTGATTCAGGGAATTGTATTATTTACTGCCTTAGCTCTCCTTGAGTTTGATAATTATGGAGGTGTAGGACAGTAGGTGCTACTGGGTGAGTAAGACGCTATTAATAATGTGTGTTCCGTTACAGTGTGACCTGCCACACCGCCAGGTGGACCAGCTGGAGATAGAGAAGCTGTACAAGGAGCACAACTTCACCGGCTGGACGGAGACCTCCGCTAAGGAGGGTCTCATGGTCACAGACTCCATGAGGTAACCTGTAGCACCCTCTCTCCCTCTTCTCCCTCACTGTAACACTCGTATACCTCATATTGTCACTGTGTCATATACCTCCCCTGGTCACTGTGTCACATACCTCCCATGGCCACTGTGTTATATACCTCCCCTGGTCACTGTGTCACATACCTCCCATGGCCACTGTGTCATATACCTCCCCTGGTCACTGTGTCATATACCTCTCATGGTCACTGTCATATATCTCCCATGGTCACTAGCATATACCTCTCATGGTCACTGTGTCATATACCTCCCAGGGTAACTATCATATACCTCCCAGGGTCACTATCATGTACCTTCCATGGTCACTATGTCGTATACCTTCCGTGGTCACTGTGTCATATACCTCCCAGGGTCGCTGCTATATACCTCCCATGGTCACTATGTCGTATACCTTCCATGGTCACTGTCACATACCTCCCAGGGTCGCTATCATATACCTCCCATGGTCACTGTGTCGTATACCTTTCATGGTCACTGTCATATACCTCCAAGGGTCGCTATCATATACTTTCCAGGGTCGCTATCATACCTCCCATGGTCACTGTGTCGTATACCTTTCATGGTCGCTGTGTCGTAACATTTCATGGTCACTGTCACATACCTCCCAGGGTCGCTATCATATACCTCCCAGGATCGCTATCATATACCTCCCAGGGTCGCTATCATACCTCCCATGGTCACTGTGTCATATACTCCCATGGTCACTCTCATATACCTCCCATGGTCACTATCATACACTTCCCAAGGTCACTGTGTCATATACCTCCCATGGTCACTATCATATACCTTCCATGGTCACTATCATATACCTCCCATGGTCACTATCATATACCTCCCATGGTCACTATCATATACGTCACATGGTCACTACCATACACTTCCCATGGTCACTGTGTCATATACCTCCCATGGTCACTATCATATACCTCCCATGGTCACTATCATATGCCTCCCATGGTCACTATCATATACCTCCCATGGTCACTATCATATACCTCCCATGGTCACTATCATATACCTCCCATGGTCACTATCATATACCTCCCATGGTCACTGTGTCATATACCTCCCATGGTCACTATCATATACCTCCCATGGTCACTATCATATACCTCCCATGGTCACTATCATATACCTCCCATGGTCACTATCATATACCTCCCATGGTCACTATCATATACCTCCCATGGTCACTGTGTCATATACCTCCCATGGTCACTATCATATACCTCCCATGGTCACTGTGTCATATACCTCCCATGGTCAGTGTCATATACCTCCCATGGTCACTATCATATACCTCCCATGGTCACTCATACACTTCCCATGGTCACTGTGTCATATACCTCCCATGGTCACTATCATATACCTCCCATGGTCACTATCATATACCTCCCATGATCACTATCATATACCTCCCATGGTAACTATCATATACCTCCCATGGTCACACTCATATACCTCCCATGGTCACTATCATATACCTCCCATGGTAACTATCATATACCTCCCATGGTAACTATCATATACCTCCCATGGTCACACTCATATACCTCCCATGGTCACTATCATTTACCTCCCATGGTCACTATCATATACCTCCCATGGTCACTATCATATACCTCCCATGGTCACTATCATATACCTCCCATGGTCACTATCATATACCTCCCATGGTCACTATCGTATACCTCCCATGGTCACTATCATATACCTCCCATGGTCACTATCATATACCTCCCATGGTCACTATCATATACCTCCCATGTCACTATCATATACCTCCCATGGTCACTGTGTCATATACCTCCCATGGTCACTATCATATACCTCCCATGGTCACTATCATATACCTCCCATGGTCACTATCATATACCTCCCATGGTCACTATCATATACCTCCCATGGTCACTGTCATATACCTCCCATGGTCACTGTGTCATATACCTCCCATGGTCACTATCATATACCTCCCATGGTCACTATCATATACCTCCCATGGTCACTATCATATACCTCCCATGGTCACTATCATATACCTCCCATGGTCACTATCATATACCTCCCATGGTCCACTATCATATACCTCCCATGGTCACTATCATATACCTCCCATGGTCACTATCATATACCTCCCATGGTCACTATCGTATACCTCCCATGATCACTATCATATACCTCCCATGGTCACTATCATATACCTCCCATGGTCACTATCATATACCTCCCATGGTCACTATCATATACCTCCCATGGTCACTGTGTCATATACCTCCCATGGTCACTATCATATACCTCCCATGGTCACTATCATATACTCCCATGGTCACTATCATATACCTCCCATGGTCACTATCATATACCTCCCATGGTCACTATCATATACCTCCCATGGTCACTATCATATACCTCCCATGATCACTATCATATACCTCCCATGGTCACTATCATATACCTCCCATGGTCACTATCATATACCTCCCATGGTCACTATCATATACCTCCCATGGTCACTATCATATACCTCCCATGATCACTATCATATACCTCTCATGGTCACTATCATATACCTCCCATGGTCACCATCATATACCTCCCCTGGTCACTATCATATACCTCCCATGGTCACTATCATATACCTCCCATGGTCACTATCATATACCTCCCATGGTCACTGTGTCATATACCTCCCATGGTCACTATCATATACCTCCCATGGTCACTATCATATACCTCCCATGGTCACTGTGTCATATACCTCCCATGATCACTATCATATACCTCCCATGGTCACTATCATATACCTCCCATGGTCACTATCATATACCTCCCATGGTCACTATCATATACCTCCCATGGTCACTATCATATACCTCCCATGGTCACTATCATATACCTCCCATGGTCACTATCATATACCTCCATGGTCACTGTGTCATATACCTCCCATGGTCACTATCATATACCTCCCATGGTCACTATCATATACATCCCATGGTCACTGTGTCATATACCTCCCATGATCACTATCATATACCTCCCATGGTCACTATCATATACCTCCCATGGTCACTATCATATACCTCCCATGGTCACTATCATATACCTCCCATGGTCACTATCATATACCTCCCATGGTCACTATCATATACCTCCCATGGTCACTATCATATACCTCCCATGGTCACTATCATATACCTCCCATGGTCACTATCATATACCTCCCATGGTCACTATCATATACCTCCCATGGTCACTATCATATACCTCCCATGGTCACTATCATATACCTCCCATGGTCACTATCATATACCTCCCATGGTCACTATCATATACCTCCCATGCTCTGGCTGTATGGGAGGACAAATGCCATTTACCCTTAAATTATTTTTAAAAAATGAGGTGATTTTTAAAAATAATTTATCGGATTTATTACAGATTGATTTCATAGAATAAAATTTAATTACAAGTTAAAGGAAAAAAATATATATTTACAAAATACTACAAAACTTATATAAACGTAATAAATTTGCTTCTCACTGAGATAAGAACATAAGAACGAAGGAACACTGCAGAAGGCCTACTGGCCCATGCGAGGCAGGTCCAAGTCTCCTACCGGCTTAAGCCAATGCACCCAACCTAGTCAGGTCAGGTCACATTGACTTAAGGGAGGAACACGGCAACCGACCTGGTAGCACAAGCTATTAGGTCCAACTCACACCCACCCACATCCACTCATGTATTTATCCAACCTATTTTTAAAGCTACACAACGTTCTGGCCTCTATAACTGTACTCGGGAGTTTGTTCCACTCATCCACAACTCTATTACCAAACCAGTACTTTCCTATATCCTTCCTGAATCTGAATTTTTCCAACTTAAAACCATTGCTGCGAGTCCTGTCTAGGCTAGATATTTTCAGCACACTATTTACATCCCCTTTGTTTATTCCTGTCTTCCATTTATACACCTCAATCATATCCCCCCTAATTCTACGTCTTTCTAGAGAGTGCAGTTTCAGGGCCCTTAGTCTATCCTCATAGGGAAGGTTTCTGATACATGGGATCAACTTTATCATGTGATATTTATTTTATTTAGGTCACGTCCGACCAACTTATGAATCACTAACGATAAAATAAGCTGTATTTATGAGAATCTTTATATTATATATATATTTGTTTAAATTTTGCACTAAAACTAACATACTTAATATGTAAACCTAACTTTGCTTTGTTAGAATTTAAGTAATATAAAATAGCTTAACTTACTTTACCTAAAAAATTGCATAACCTTATTTAAGTGTTTTCCGTTAGTGGGGAAGTGATGAGGTAAGTCTTCTGGTGTTTCGTAGCTCGGTTGGTAGCACTCACCTCACGCTGAGTGTCCTTGGTTCTATCCCGGTACGGGTGGAAATGTTGGGCGTGTTTCCTTACACCTTTTGTCCCTGTTTACCTAGCAATAAGTAGGTACCTGGGTGTTAGTCAACTGGTGTGGGTCGCTTCATGGGGTACAGGATTAAGCTGCCCGAAATGCTCTGCATAACTAGGCTTTCTGTATAATATCACTGATGTCAGCTATGGTCTGTATAAGTTGTATCATGTACCTGTAAAGTAAAAGGACACAAGTGCAACTAATGTGACATTTATTGTGGCAACGTTTCGCTCTCCAGGAGGTTTATCAAGCCATTACAAACAATACATGGACACAGAGGGTATATAAAGGCTCAGAGTGAGGTGTAATACTAGTGAGGTAACATTTCGATGTTCACTAGTGGTAGTAGTAGTAGTAGTGGTAGTGACAAAAGTAATACAATATGGTAGAGCAATTAATTCGTAAAAGGATATAAAAGCTATTACTTGGGTAACATAAAAATAGGTTGGACAAATATAGACTGGAATGAGGCAGCTTGTTTCAGTGTTCACTCTCTGTGCTTTGTGTAGTATAACAGGAGAGACTATGTGATGGCAGGGTTTACTGTTTTCAGGAGGATTCTTGCTAAGACTTCGGAGATGGTGAAGCTGCCGTTGTTTTTTTTAAACTAAACTACTACCACTAGTGAACATCGAAATGTTACCTCACTAGTATTGCACCTCACTCTGAGCCTTTATATACCCTCTGTGTCCATGTATTGTTTGTAATGGCTTCATAAAGCTCCTGGAGAGCGAAACGTTGCCACAATAAATGTCACATTAGTTGCACTTGTGTCCTTTTACTTTACATATTGTCGGTAATTCTACCAACTTTATTACAATAATGTACCTGTAGAAATAGATTGTTATTATTTTTATTATTATTACTGTTTTATTATTATTATTATTATTATTATTTTTATTATTATTATTATTATTATTATTATTATTATTATTAGTATTATTATTATTATTATTATTATTATTATTATTATTATTATTATTATTATTATTATTATTATTATTATTATCATCTAATCTGTGTCGTCACCCACAGGTTCCTGGTAGACGTGATGATGAAGCAGAAAGACAGTCTGGAAGACGATTCAGCAGAGTCGTCGCTACGATTGTCCCACGCTGATCTGGAGAAGCCTGATCCCTGCTATTGCTGAGTTTCATCCCTGCTGCTTCTGCCGTCCCAGCTTGTAATCTGGCCCCCAGCCCAGCCGGTGCTAGTGTGCCAGGAGTGTTCCTTCAGGCTGCTACAGAGCAGGTTGTTTACTACGGTGTTGTCTCCGTTCCAGTAGGAACACACTAAGCTACAGCCTCCGCCACCATGACCATGTGATTGTGAATACAGGCGGAGAACTGACTCCATCCCACTCCAGCTGAAATGCACACACACACACACACACACACACACACACACACACACACACACACACACACACACACACACACACACACACACACACTGCCTCTCCTGTTTTTGCTCTCCTGCACGGCTACTGAATCAAGGGTGACGTTATGGAAGGTTAAAATGCAGGCAACTAGTGAGCTAGCGCAACAGACGTTACTGTCTGGTGCTGAGGAGCTTTAATTAAAGACGTGACATGTCCTTCCGATGCAAGCTTGAAGCTTGTTCACACTTTAAACCGAACAGCTGATCGGGGAAGATGTTGTATACTTATGTTAACACCAGGAGGCAGCACAGTGCAAGGTGTCTTGAGCTAAGATGTCAGAAGTTACTGTCGAATGTTATTGTGTGACGTGAAACTTTGTCATACCTGTTGTTCATACAGTGCTCTCAAACGCCTATTAAGCCTACACTTATCACTCATATTTGTCATGCGTCTATCACTAACATCTGTCGCTCACATCTGCCGCTGTCACACCTGTTGCTCTCACAATCATATATTCCCTCTCACACATGTCCTCATACATTTCTTTCACGTATCTGTCGCTCTAATACATCAATCGCTGTCACACACACATGTACCTCAAACACCTTTACACAAATAACCCGCACATAGGAGAGAGGAGCTTACGACGATGTTTCGGTTTCCCATGTGGCTCCTGCTGCGAGTTGTCTTGTCCCGAAGGTAAGGTCGAGGCAGCTACCCAACAGGTGTGTGGGGTCTCCATTGTTTAGCAACTTTACCTCTGGAATATCGTGTAGGAGCATTGCTGTGTCTGCCAGCAGCGTTGGTTGCTGAGTAAGCGTGCAGCATTGGGACCATTTACAAAGTCACAGTGTGACTTTGTAAATGGTCCAAGTAGGACTGAAATGTCGTCGTAAGCTCCTCTCTCCTATGTGCGGGTTATTTGTGTGTTGTTCCAGTCACGGTATTGTCTTTTTATTGTTTCAAACACCTTTCTCCGGTTTACGTCAATAACGGTGTCACTGAATATAAAAGCTACAGATCCATATTCTCACCAGCCCATTCTTATGGAAATCTTCAATAAGTCTGATAAATAACTTGCTCATTTCGTCTTGTGTCGCATGAGCGACTATTTTTATCGTAACTTCCCCCCCCCCCCGTGTTTACCTGGAACCAGTAACTCAAAACAAAGAATTTCGGAAGTCATAGTGGGTCTTATTAGACCTCAGTTGTTAGATAATTATATCTGTTGAATACGGTTAGTTTAAATATTAAGATCTATTCAAATAATTCTTTGTTTATATAGTGCAGCAGTGTTGACACGTTTTCATGATTTCAGGTATTAAATATGAAAGATATTCGTAATTTCCTGTAGCGGTTGGTTGGGTATGATGTACAGTATCTCTATAAGGTTTGTTTTTTCCTTGGAAATTTATAATCTTTTATCAGAAAAGAACTAGCAAATAAACTGAAAGAACGCCGTCTTGCAGTTAACTTGAAAAGTCTGACGTATCGCTAAACATTCAAAAGTTTGAGAATGTTTATAATCTGCACAGCACATTCCCTTATTTATTTAACAAAAGTATGTCAATAAGGCACTAAGCTTTCGTGAATGCTTTATATTTTACAGATTACATAAATAGAATATTTTAACTACTTTTATGTCCTTCATCAAGTAATGACAGAGAGAAAGAGAGAGAAAGTCAGAACTCAAATCTGGTGTGACAGCCGAGTCAATTGACGGCAGAGAAAGTCAGAGTCAGATCAGATCACATTAGACACTAATGAGAAAGTCAAGCATCAACACAATCAATGCCGAGACAAATATTTATGTTAGAAATGTGTTTATAAGAACCGATTCTTCAAGACTGCATCTGCGAAGGATAGAAGAGGGATAGACAGTTTAAGATGGCTATAATCTTTTAAAGAGACAGAAAAAAAATTGCTGGTATCAGCAAAGTAAACATTTCTTATATATTTTTTTTTAACTTTGTCAGAAAGGGAGACGCCCGTTTCATCTAAATGTTTGGGGCAGGAAATATAACACTGGAACTGTCGCTGGAAGAAGGGTAAAAAGTATGTAAAAGATTGTTGTTTTCTCTTATGTTAGAAACCCTAACCATCCCAGAAGCTAGTAGTGTTCTGCCAAAACTATCCATCTTTTAGCATTCACAGACGCTGTCTTGTGGAATCGGCTCTTACATATATAGATCAGGCTTCGTTTATATTGATGTTTACCTTTCGGGTACAGTGTGAAAAGCTTGTGTTCAGAACACTCGCGGCTTGACCTGACCTTGGCTTTCTCCTCATCTCACCTGACCTAGATTGTCTCACCTGAACTGCCTGTGGCTTAGTCCTCTTTTTGCTCAGTCGTAGGTTAGATGGAAAATGTTGCAGCCTCGGTATTGTGACTCATTCTTCGTATAATTATTCCATTCATCAAGTGTTCCTGTTACTTGTGAGAGTTTTAGACAACAATGTGTCAGGTAGTTTCGTCGATGAAGTGCAAGATAATCTAAGATTTGGAACCGGAGGAGTCTGCTGTTGTTGGCTACTCTTCTCCCACTCACTAACAGTATTTACCACATATCTACAGTATACACGATCTACCATTGATTTTCTTTGGACTAGAGATACCATGGATGTGTATTTATAATGGATCTACCATGAAAACATCCTAGGTATGTCTAGTAATTACATAAAACTGGTTTTATCACGGTCGTAGTCATTCCAGACTAGGAAATAAACTGGTAGCAAGGAGAGACTTTTCATTACGACGTTTCGCACAAGGCTAGGTATGAACTTGATAAAGCCCAGCCATGAGTGAAACTCCGAAATACAAGGCTTTTTTTCCCGTATCAGTGTTTATATTTCGGCTTGTGGGCTTAAAGTCCTTGTTTACCCACACCAGACTGTCAGCGTGCTATCGTGTATTTTAACCAACCTTTCCGGGTTACTATGTGATTAAGACACATAAGAGGAGGTTATTATTTCACAAGATACTGCTGACTGACTCTTGATCTTAGAGACTTCCCTCCACTTTCTAGGATCAAACCTGATTAGCTCCCGTTCCTAAGGCACTATGTGGCTCTTATGGGTTTAGCGCTTCCCCTTGAATATAATAAATTTGTTATAGCTGTTTATAGCGCTTATTTGCATATTTCTGTTGTTTTGAAACTTGTGAGGAGGAAGGCGCTTGATCCAAGGAACCGGAGTTGCCTTCCGTTTCCTTGGATCGAACCTGATTATTTCCTAATCTTGATTACCTCCCAGTTCTTTAACTAGATGTTAATACCTGGGTGAGCCGCCCACCCTAGCACGAGCGAGTTGAGGTGATAGCAAGCAGAGACATCCACAGTGTGCTGCTACACCGTGCGCTGCTACACCGTGCGCTGCTACACCGTGCGCTGCAGTGTTATATCGTGTGTTGCAGTGTGCTACATCGCGTGTTAGGCTGCGCAGTCATAGTAATAGTTTTTGTCATGTTATTTAGCTTAGTGTGTGATGTGTTTCAGTGCTATGACATTAATGAAATCCTCAACCATTAATATATATATATATTATATATATATATATATAATATATATATATATATATATATTATATATATATATATATATATATATATATATATATTGGAGTACACATCAAGGTAATATAAACACTTAATTATTGAGATATTGTTTAATAAATTTACAATAAGATTCCTTTGCTAAATTACAACTTGTATAGTTGGGAGTGAAATAAAAAGGATTTAAACCCGTACTTCAAGTTTTAGTGTTATTTACCTTACAGGTCAACTTACCATACATATACAAGTCAACTCTAGTGACACAGGTCAACTCTAGTGACACAGGTTAACTCTAGTGCCACAGGTCAACTCTAGTGACACAGGTCAACTCTAGTGACACAGGTCAAGTCTAGTGGCACAGGTCAACTCTAGTGACGCAAATCATCTCTAGTGACAGGTCATCTTTAGTGACACAGGTCAACTCTAGTGACACAGGTCAAGTCTAGTGGCACAGGTCAAGTCTAGTGGCACAGGTCAAGTCTAGTGGCACAGGTCAACTCTAGTGACGCAAATCATCTCTAGTGACAGGTCATCTTTAGTGACACAGGTCAACTCTAGTGCCACAGGTCAACTCTAGTGACACAGGTCAAGTCTAGTGGCACAGGTCAACTCTAGTGACGCAAATCATCTCTAGTGACAGGTCATCTTTAGTGACACAGGTCAACTCTAGTGCCACAGGTCAACTCTAGTGCCACAGGTCAACTCTAGTGACACAGGTCAACTCTAGTGCCACAGGTCAACTCTAGTGACACAGGTCAACTCTAGTGCCACAGGTCATCTCTAGTGACACAGGTCATCTTTAGTGACACAAGTCAACTCTAGTGACACAGGTCATCTCTAGTGACACAGGTCATCTCTAGTGCCACAAGTCAACTCTAGTGACACAGGTCAACTCTAGTGACACAGGTCAACTCTAGTGCCACAGGTCAACTCTAGTGACACAGGTCAACTCTAGTGCCACAGGTCAACTCTAGTGCCACAGGTCAACTCTAGTGACACAGGTCAACTCTAGTGACACAGGTCAACTCTAGTGACACAGGTCAACTCTAGTGCCACAGGTCAACTCTAGTGACACAGGTCAACTCTAGTGCCACAGGTCAACTCTAGTACACAAATCATCTCTAGTGACACAGGTCAACTCTAGTGACACAGGTCATCTCTAGTGACACAGGTCATCTCTAGTGACACAGGTCATCTCTGAATGTGACACAGGTCATCTCTAGTGACACAGGTCATCTCTAGTGACACAGGTCATCTCTAGTGACACAGGTCATCTCTAGTAACACAGGTCATCTCTAGTGACACAGGTCAACTCTAGTGACACAGGTCATCTCTAGTGACACAGGTCATCTCTAGTAACACAGGTCATCTCTAGTGACACAGGTCAACTCTAGTGACACAGGTCATCTCTAGTGACACAGGTCATCTCTAGTGACAGGTCATCTCTAGTGACACAGGTCATCTCTAGTAACACAGGTCATCTCTAGTGACACAGGTCAACTCTAGTGACACAGGTCACTTTCTATGCTAGAGTCTGCTGCACACTACACATTACTTATTGTAGTACTTTCAGAGTACAATTTAGTACAGTAATAGGCCAGTTGGTACAGCCTATTAATGCAAGTACAGTATTGTACAGAATATAAAGTAACGTATTTAGGAGCACAGTTAACATAGTAATATTTAATATACATAATAATTATAAATGTTATGTACCTGGTAATGTGTAGGAAACTAACACGTCCAGTATTTATTCTGAATGTTCATATTATTAAATCTAGACATAAATTTTGGCTTATTAAAGTTCTTAAACTTTTTAAAGTTTATATTATTTTTTCTCCCATTTATATACTTATTAAAGCTCTACCTAATAAGGCCTTTTACTCATATACGGTTCTGCTGCCATGGATCCGAGGATAAGTACTGGCAAATCTACTGCAAGATAGAATAAGGCTAGATGCTGAAAGGGTATCAATAATATTCTCTGGTATATGTTCATGATAATAGTATCTATAACATTTTGGGGTTTAGCGCTCAACGTTTTTCTTATGTGTCTGGGCGAGCACCCTTATTCTGTTGTTCTTTCTATTAAGTAATTTGAGCAACAAATTGTGAATTATTATTATTATTATGTGAGCAAATTACCTTCATGAGGTTTACAGGGTATTACTGGAATTATTACAGGCAAGTAATTTGGGTGAGATAAGTGGGACTTAAGTCACAACAGGTCTCTGAACTGTAACTCCCTCGATGGCCACTTCTTCATTCTCACAAAAAGCTAGACCTGACATTAAATTAATAATTACAGTATTAAACATTAATACCAATAATGGTAAATTATAAAATAATGTGGACTGTATATGATTTGGTTTGCTGGGTACACAGAAGAAATTCGTATTACCACTTACCATTTAATTACTGTAGATAGATCACACCACAGCACCGACCTAACATGTCATGTAGGGGGTAACGGAACGTAATTATTAATCGGGGAATATGGGAGTAAGGGGTTATGTAAGGCAGGGGATAGGCAGGCGCGGTGGTAGGAGAGATGATTAGCGGAGGTAGGTAATGTGAGGTCACTGGTGATTACAACTTCACCTCTCATTACTCTACCCACCACACTACTCACCCTCTCACTACTCACCACACTACTCACCACACTACCCACCACACTACTCACCCTCTCACTACTTGAAATAAAATAATGAATAAAAGAGTAAATAACGGGGACAGTGAATATTACTATTCTACTCAAACACAGTTTATTATTAATTCTTTGTACAATAATATATTTGGGAACAGGAGAACATTATTGTGTTCAGATAAATGGGATGGTACATATAAGCAGTGAGACAGGGAATACAATCAACTTGACGAAAATGAATGTAACTTACAATATAGTTCAGAGGGCAGTTCATCACAGGAACTAAGCCACAGGTCCCAAGACCTACACAGCACGAGTACTGCTCCAAGCCAGTACTCTGCCCAAGGTCTCCAACAGTCTCCTCCAGAGACCTCAGCAGCCTTCTCCCGAGCCCTGCACCCCAGCAGCAACTCCGCTCGAAGTCTGACGAGATCTGACGCCAGTGACGAACAAAGGAGCTAATATTTAAGCCGAAAAGGCGTGGCTGCTTAGCCACTTGCTAAGGCAAGGTGAGACCATAT